GAGTAGTTTTTTAAACGAAATAAATTGTAACTAGTATTTTATAGTTAGCTTTGTTTTCATTAGCCTGCGCGCAGGCAAAATTAAACTCTGGTTAACTAATCAGAGTTTAGTTATCGTCACGCAGGCTATGTTTTCATGAATAAAGTTTCCATTTATTATTATCGTCATCATTATTATCATTACCATTACCTTTATCAATATCAATGTCCTTTATCTTTATCATTATTTAATCTCTATTATTAATTGAATATTATTTATTTATTTATTTAATTATTTATTTAATAAGAATGTTGTCAACAGAGGCAAAAAGTGCAATGTTTTAGCTTTGTCTTGCTTCCATCTTATAGAAGGCATGCACGCTCTTACCTCCAGATCCTAGTCCATAACATACTACTGAGGCATCTTCATAGTGACCACAGTTCTCGTTGCCCCATCCACTATGCCTACAATAGCCAATTGAAGTTTCGTTGCCTTGACAATTTACATCATCCAGCCAAATTGGACCACTTCCAGCCCCGAATCGGGCAGACCCTGGAGCACTAATAGCGCCAGGATACCCAAGCTGACGGCAAACAACACGTGCATCATTTATATCCCAGTAATCATCACAAACCGTTCCCCATTGGTTATTATAAAACACTTCGACTCTTCCTTCTGAGCTCCTATATCCTCCGACCAGTCTCAAAGCTGAAATAATTTTCAACAAAATGTGCACTCGTAAGTTGTAACTGTCATACTACCTTAAACCTATCTTTAAACATGCTTAGAATAATGCTGGTCCTACTCTCTGATTTGGCTTTAAATTAAGGATCCCCTGCAAATTAACTGTAACGTATTACCTCTACAGAGGCTATTTATTTACCCACGTGTAATGCTTTGAACAAGTGTGTCAATAAACAGGTTACAAATCGAATAATTCAAATTAAGAGCAAGTCTCTTGAGCTCCTCACATTGATTTTTGCCCACTAAATAGAAAATGGGGCAAATTTTGCATCTTGTTTAAACCTACAGCCTACGTTGCAAACTTTGTCAAACTGGAATGCACCAGTCAAATTTAAGTCCCAGGGTAGGGGGTGGGGGGCATCCCCGGGGCATTTGACAGTATTTCCATTCCCATTTGTGGGGAATAATAAAAGATTTGATGTAACACAAGATCCTGAGGGTGGGTGAGTTTGACAAGATTCAAGAGCCTGGATCCTAGTCTCAGCCTGCTATCTTGAAAACATTGCCCAAACAGTTTCCTTGGGATTGATGTTTCAGGAAGTTGGTTTGTGTCCATGAGTGTTCAATTGCCTGTTAACTACTGTTGAATATTTGTCCGTGTTGGACTAAACAGCTTTAAAAGGCACTTGATTTGGGGAGAAACGCCCCTGAACAAAGTGTGGGATATCATTAAACTGATTTAAAAAAAGACTGGGACGCATTATATATAATCCAAAATCAAACAAAATGTACCCCAAGGGAAAGGGTATTTGACATCAGTCTTTTCCCCCTGGGTAAAGAATTTGGCATGAAAATGGCCAAATGTCAGATCCCCCTTGGTATGCCCGACCTCCTACCCTAGGGCTTAACATTGACTCAGCTGATTGACTGGTGCATAACTGTTTGCTCCTGCCAAAAAGAGTCACTCCCAAGGCTTAAANTTGCATCTTGTTTAAACCTACAGCCTACGTTGCAAACTTTGTCAAACTGGAATGCACCAGTCAAATTTAAGTCCCAGGGTAGGGGGTGGGGGGCATCCCCGGGGCATTTGACAGTATTTCCATTCCCATTTGTGGGGAATAATAAAAGATTTGATGTAACACAAGATCCTGAGGGTGGGTGAGTTTGACAAGATTCAAGAGCCTGGATCCTAGTCTCAGCCTGCTATCTTGAAAACATTGCCCAAACAGTTTCCTTGGGATTGATGTTTCAGGAAGTTGGTTTGTGTCCATGAGTGTTCAATTGCCTGTTAACTACTGTTGAATATTTGTCCGTGTTGGACTAAACAGCTTTAAAAGGCACTTGATTTGGGGAGAAACGCCCCTGAACAAAGTGTGGGATATCATTAAACTGATTTAAAAAAAGACTGGGACGCATTATATATAATCCAAAATCAAACAAAATGTACCCCAAGGGAAAGGGTATTTGACATCAGTCTTTTCCCCCTGGGTAAAGAATTTGGCATGAAAATGGCCAAATGTCAGATCCCCCTTGGTATGCCCGACCTCCTACCCTAGGGCTTAACATTGACTCAGCTGATTGACTGGTGCATAACTGTTTGCTCCTGCCAAAAAGAGTCACTCCCAAGGCTTAAAAACCGCTAATAACTTGTATCTATCCTTTATCCTAAAAATCATATCGGTTCAAATTACCAACGCTTTAGAATTACAAAACTGAGGCAATAAGTAACTTTAATCATTTGACCCACTTGAGGAAAAAATGATTTCAGCCAAGTTTAAATAATTAGGTTGCAAAAGAGGATCACGTTTGAAGGTCCTATTGCACATCATTATACATTTTCGTCCTCCCCTACTTAGTTATGTTAAAACACTTGGCAGCTAGTACGTTTCGATCAGGTGTGAGGCATAAGATTTTCCTTTCTCGGTGATGTTTCTTCGAGAACGATTGTCATAATCCAAAGCCATATTATTGAGGATATGCCAGTCTAAAATTGTTCTGTACTTAAGGATGAAATTTTGCAATCGCCATTGTAAAGGTGGTCATGGTTTTACACTAACGAAGAAGAGAGACAAAGTGGTGGAGGAGAGAGACTCAAATTTACCGCGTCCGCCATATTTGTTAACAGTTTTTGGAAGTTGAGGTATCTGGTACGCGGGAACCTGGAATTAGCGAACCTTTGAAATGCATTCCCGGCACGTACATATCTCCTTACCGATTTTCAAAGAAATTATTAAGATAAAAAAAAAAGTTCAAAAACTGTCGTCATTGAAAACGTTTCTTTGCATAAATGTAGTTTCTGTTGTAATGCTTTAATCAATAGTTAAGTTTTTAGCGATGTAAAAGAAACTTGACGTTTCGATAATCCCTAAGAAAAAAAAAATGAAAATATAAATGCATGTGCATAAGATGTACTACCTGCCCTCCAAGATCTCTTATAGAAGAAAAAGCTATTTAAAGTAGTGAAGTATGGTACGAGAGTAACTACAAAATTCCCGGTTTGGATTGCAATGCCTTGCATTGGAGTGATTCTTTTGTCCGGAGCAAACTTATGACAATATAAATTCGAAGTCAATTGCACATATATACATACTAGAAAAAGAATTTGCGTCAAAAAATTCTTACAAAGAAAAATGATTCTTCGATCTAGTTTCATAGTTGAAATGCTTTTTAGAGGAGGTCCATGGAAAAATTGTAACAAAATCTATTGCGGGGCCAAAATTAATATCGGAGGATCTTACAGGAGAGTGAGCACTAAAGCAGTTGTGAGTACCGCATTGCTGTTACATTAATTCTAATAAACTATTTTTAAATCCCTTTTCAAAGACCCTGCCGAAGTATTAATATTATCTTGATTAAGTAGCCAAAAAGACTGTTCAAACCCGTTGTTTCACCAGTCTTTCAAGCGAAAATAATAGTAATAATAATAATAATAATAATAATAATAATAATAATAATAATAATAGTAATAATAATAAGTAATAATATCAGGACTGAGTGGAGTTCAATTCGGTCTGTAATAATCATATAAGTGATTAACAAAATCGGACGACCGCGTAGTTGGAGTCCGATTTGTTTAATCACGAATATGATTACCGACCGAATTGGATTGGACGACTCGAAGTTCTGTTACCAATTAATCATAACTTAAACAAAATTTGTGATAAAAAATCAAAACACAAGAAATTCCAAGATTTTTTTTTCCTAGCAGTGAAAAAAAGAAGCCATTTAAGAGCGCGCGTGTTGGCGCGTACTGTACAATTACTTACTAGGCATAACGCGTACTGTCCTACTGAACTGAGTGAAATTTAGTCCGAAGTCATACGCGTGACTTAAAAATTGAACGAGCGCACAGCGCGAGTTCGATTTCAAATCACTATGATTTCAGGCCAAGATTGCAAGACTCGAAGTTCAATTTCCACTTTATTACATCCATTTTGGCTGCAATTTGATTTGTTACTTTGAACAAGATTTGAAATCTGTTTGGTTGTACTGTTTTAGTGTTCCTTTTTCATTGATTGGAAAAAGATGCGATTTTAGAGCAAAAAATGGTGCAATTTGGGAATAAATCCACCGTTGAGAGCCAACCAGATTGCACGGATCGCCAGTGATTTCAAAGTGAATGTAATAAAGGCTGAAATCAGGGCACTTGATAGCCAATCAGAATTGACAATATAATTATAGTTATGATTATAATAACAATAGTGACACAAGTGAAATCTAGCGGATACTTACGGTGTTGCGCGTTGGCCAGTTGAAGCAAAGTGAAAACTAAAACTGAAACAAATAAAGAAAGAAGAAGCTGTTAAAATTACTATTTTGACAATACTTGATTTGTTGTTTACCCGTCTTTGCCACAACCCTCTATAACTTGCAAATAGCATCAATCCGAATAATTAAGTTTAATAACGTTCATGCCGTGTTTTTATCTGAAAAACAATGCTCGGAAAAAAGTAAGATTACGGAAAACAACTCCGAATACAGTAGAGAAAGATTTCAGGCCAGAAGGTCTTGTTTTGACGTAGCAGTAGATAGAGCTGCGCGTCGATCGACAGCTATTGATTAAAGGGGTAGTTTATGGAGAAAACTAAATTGCGGTGTAATTAGAAGAAGCAACTTGAGTATCGTGGTTTGAGGAATAAAGCTAATCGAAACGGCACTTATCCTTTATGCATGATAGTAAATTAATTCTATAGAAATTATTTTAAAAAGTTTAGAAATCTAAGTTTAAGCTAGCTCTTAGTTCAAGGGCACAGTCTAAGAAGACCTCGCTTGGAGACAAAAAAAGGAGACCCTTAAAATGCATTTATAATCATCCCGAGTGCGTCAAACTTGAGAATTCAGCTTTTTTTTAAAGATGCAATTTAAGTTGCGGAAGTTTAATTAGCCATCCGTAACATTTCTATCTACCACAATTCACATATTTGCACGCAAACGTATTGCAGCTTTGATTATAGCAAAAATTTATTGTCTTGCCCTTCTCAGTTTGCTTCAGTTTATATAACAGAGCTGTGTTTTGCGCGATAACAGAATTATGAATACCCTTCAAATCAAAAATGGCGCAACGCTAGATATACACTTTCTCCTACACCAAATGTACAGCGACTCACAATATGGGAAAGGCCACTTTGTGAGTTGAATATTTTGCCTTGTTTGGGCTCGATAGTGGCAGTAACTGAACATCAAACAAAACTGAGAACGCGTCCAATTTTAGGTACGCGCTAGGTCAGGAGATATATGATTGATCGCACGGCTAGTTTGGCTTTGCAGCGGACTGTATCTCTCCGTAAGCAAATCATATGACTTATCAGTTTTTAGCTCCTTGGGTACTCTTAGGGTGTGCCTATCAATTGGGCAGCACTTTTGACTCCGCTTGTCTTAGTTCAATTATAGTGAATGGCTGAGTCTATTCGCATGCACCTAAGTGATTCTCTTGGCTTGTTTGCTTCGCAGACAATGATGGCAGTGGTTTAGTCCGGATACGCCATGTATCCGACTGAGCATTGGTGGTTTGCTTAGCTCTCGATTGGCTCGTTTACCTACGCGGCTGAGGGCATCAGTGCGCTGAGCCAGATCGAAGGTTCTGAAAGTTTAGTATGGGGCTAAAATGGCGTTGTATATTTATCACTAATAAGCGGGAAAGTTCTCTCCCTTGGCTACGTCTAATATTCTTGTGAAAACGGTCTAAAACATGGGTGCAAAGAAGTCATTTTAGCCACGTGTTACCTCTTTATGAAAGTATAAAAAAATGTAACAATGGTTCATAACGGCTAAAAGAATTTCAACTTTATGTCAACTTCCACCAATCATTTTAACTTATTGAGTTATTTTAAACTGTTATTTACAAGAAAAGCTGAAGACTGCAATGCATCCCTTTGCGCGACCAACCAGTCATTTTTTTTGTTAATACAAGGCTTAATATACGAATTGTGCATCTAGTCATCTGATACATTACAGTGCATAGTCTCTTCTGTTTAACAATTTTTTTTCTCATGTGTTTAATCTAAATTACTATGTCATCAATAAAAAATAAATGATGTAATCTTTGCTAACTCCTGGTATTCTTAAGCATGGATAGCTTTGATGCTTCGTTTGCATTTGTCATCATCATTACAACAAAGGCATTCTTGGATAATTTGGTGTTAGATTTGCACAATTTTCTTTATCAAGGGACGAATCAGATTATAAGTATATACCCAGCGTCATTCTCAATATGCGAGAACTAATATTTGGTATGTTGTTCTATACATGGTTGTTATTCGGACGTAGTAACAATTACGACAGCACTAACAAAGAAACGACCCTTAGTTTGTTAGGCTGCCGTCAAACAGTCAAACCGCTTACCTGGTAAAAGGCACACATTTCCAACCTTGGAAAAAACAAATTGCAAGGACATCTTGTCAATTTTCTAAACCACTAGCGTTGTTACTAACATTTGAATTTCTTGTCAATTCTCGACTGATAGCGACCGTTAAAACCTCAGCATGCACACGCCGCATTTAATGATTCAATAGCCACTGACCAAGAATATGTTAACTTGAACTCACGCTTTTGTGACTAACTGGAATTTGCTAAACATTCCAATGAACAAGGGTGACAATTAATGGACTCGTGAGAACAGAAATGCCTACATCCTGGTAACAACGACGAATTTAAACTCTACAATTGTTGATTATTTTCTGTTATGTACATTGGTGATAGCTATAGATATTCAAAGCCGGTTAAAGCTTAAATATAATCTCCGCAAAAATTATCCACAAAGATATGTTTGTGTGTGCTTGTATTGGCTTTAAGGGCAAACCGAAAAAAGATCAAACACCCGAGGAAATATATTAAAATTGGGAAAGCGGAGAGCGCTGCTAATAAGCGAAAGTGAAGCACATAAAACGGAGTTTCATTTAACTAGACAAGATATGACAGGACCGTAGCTCGTTGTTTTAAAAAAATACAAACTTTTAATCACGCCATTTTTCCCAAACGGCCCACGCGAAATTAATCGATCGACTAACCACAAATATTCACTACAACCATGAAATACTGTTCATGGAGTAATCTAAGACTACGTGACATCTGTTAGGTCCATTTCAACAATTTAACAATCGGACTGGGAATGGTTCTCGCTTGCAAAACAGACGAATTAATTTTTACCTAAAATTTGCAAAATGGCAAACCTGGCCGATGACAAAAAGTAGTTAAACAATAGTAAAAAAAAAAAAAAGTGTCCCCAATTAGTACTTTCGTGCTGATTAAATTGGCACTCAAATAATATGTTGCTTTCAATAGGCGCGGTATACATATATATAAAGATCTCCTTTTTTCTTCTTTTTCTTTTTATATTTTCTTTTGAAACAGAGACACATTTAATTTCTAAAAACAAATTTCATCCCAAAACCAACAGTCCGTGATATAACTTTGACGAATCAGTATTTCCGGACCTCCGTGTATGACGTCAATGCACCTATTTGCAATATTGGCCAAGTAAAAACTGAATGTCACGAATGTTATATACAGAAAGGGTGAGCTTATCGATCTTGATCTTAAAATGTAACTCAGCATATGTTTAGTAAAGGAGAACAGGTAAAAGTAGTTTTCCGAAGTAATGAGCGAGAATCTTCAGTGGTTTTCTACGTCGGTACTAATTTGTCCGTGCTGATTTAACTGCGCAAGAGCTTTCATTGATATGCGCGAAAGAATGTAATGTTACATTCTGACGCTGACTGGGAAGTTTCCCAGAAACTTAAATTGATCCCAAATTTAGTTTTTTGGAAAACCTTCCACCTACCCCTTTCTAAAAAAAAAAGCCAACATTAACACTTGCTTCTCACTTAGGCCAAAAATTTGACTTAGGGGAGGGGTAGGTCTGCTGTTTTCCAGACGCATACCCCGAAAATGACCATGTAAAGACGTTTACTCAAAGAATTAGGTCGCATCTTTTGGGTCGTATCAATTTACTATTCTGAAAATCTTAAGATAACAGAGATGTGACGGTATGCCGCCTATTCAATTCAAAAGACTAGACAGTTCGCGAAGCTCGGTTGACCATGCAGACACGGTCAGGAGTCCACTGTACGAAATGCTCCAAAACGAAACGTTAAACAACAGTGTCTCCAATTTACTTCATTCGAGCTAGATACACTGACACTTCAATTAAATAAGTTTAGTTGGTAAGGTAGAAAAATGTAAAGAATACGCTAACTTGCGGCAATAGTGACGGTAAGCCACATAAACCTCAACCATCATAGAATGTGCTTACGCGTCAATATTTGGCGTCTATCAAGCAACGGAGCCCAAATGACTAACCATGCCTTAGCCTACTACAATTAAACAAACTGAATGCATGTCTAGTAATTCTCTATATATAGACAATGGTCAAACAAGTCTGATAAAAACTGCTTTGAACTTTTTATTCACACTTTTTGTACTCTAGTCGCTTCGACCGGTAGAGCATTCATAATTAAGTGTGAAAGAACGCAAAGCTTCGAAGCCTAAATCAGGTGAAGACTTAGGCTGCCTAATCAAACTTACTAAATAAATGTTAAATGCGCTTCTAAATTGCGGCAAACAAACTCTTTTGGAGGGTGTTAACAATACTGAATGTCCACAAATTCCAAGGTCTGGAAAAATAACAGTCGCTTATTAAAAGTATTGCAAATGTCTCTGTTCCTTATAACGTAAGGTTGTGTTCTGATTTGCAAATGCAGGGTTATGTTGTTTTTGTGAAAACCCGTGAGACACATAGGAATGTCCAGCAGTTTTAGATTTTTAAGCTTTAATTTTTTTATCGTTATAAGATAAAACGTTATTATAACCGCAAATATCTATAAACTTAATTCAGCCAGGTAAACCTTGAAATATTGTTTTAATGAAAAGAGGGATGGCGGAAAATAGCGGACATTATATTTGGAAATGGAGTAAGAAAAAAATAGAAAGAAAAAAAAAAACGATAAGATCAAATACCCGAATAGCAAATGTAAAAAAAAAAAACATTGGGAAAGTGGAGAGCGCTCCCAATAAGTGAAAGTATCGAACGTAAAACGGAGTTCCGTTTTACTAGACAAGATATGGCAGGATGTGACGGTTGTTTAAACATTAAAAAAATATATATTATCGCGTCATTCTTCCCAAACGGCCCACGCAAAATTAATCGATCGATAAACCACAAATATTCACTACAATTATAAAATATTGTAATACTACGTGACATCTGTTAGGTCCATTTTAACAATTCAACAAACGGACCGGGAATGGTTCTCGCTTGCAAAACAGGTGAATTAATTT